CCTTAAGGCACTAGAAATTTCAAGGAGCTGCTTGTGTTTTCGTTCCAACACTCCATTCTGTTGTGGTGTATGTGGGCAAGTCGTTTCAGGAAGAATTCATTGTTGGTTGTAAAATTCTAGCATGTTGTTGGAAGTAAATTCCCCATCATTGTGACACCTAATTCTTTTAATAGATTTTCCAAACTAATTCTTGACAATTTGTGAAAGTTCATAAAATGTTTTCTTGCTTCAAGCTTGACCTTTAGTAGAACAAACCCAAATGGCTCTACTGAAGTCATCAACAATAGTTAAAAAATAACTAGCCCCCGAAAGAGAGGGGGTGTAGTATTTACCCCAAATATCACAATGCAATAAATCCAAACAATGGGTGTAGTATTTACCCCAAATATCACAATGCAATAAATCCAAACAATCACTAGTTTTAATTTCATTATTTGAAAAAGTAAGCTTAGTATGCTTGGCTTTGAAACAAGAATCACAAGACTTATCGAACAAAAATTTACTAAGAAAATGTATTTTGGTAAGTTTTTCACTGGATGTGTGACCTAATCGTTTGTACCAAGTTTCAGCGGTCGTCGTCATGTCTCTTCTTTCAAAAACTCCCATCCGGTAAAGTCCCTACCTTTACTCACCCGCACCAATCAAGCTCATTGTGTGCAGTTTCTGCATGACACAAAAATCAGGGAAAAAGGTTAGTGTGCATTGGAGATCCTTATTCTACTTACAGATAAATGATTACAGTTGAATTTTGGTATGTTTAGAACCCCATTTAATTTGGTTCCACCTAACAACGTGTATCCACCTCTTCTCTTAAAGGGCATGGCATGCCCGTTGGGAATAAGAACAAATTTTCATTTTGTTTTCAAGGATGTTGACATCATGGCTGATGTGTTCGGTAGAGCCCGAGTCAACTACCCAATCATCATCATAGTCCCCTTCACCTGTCATGTAAGCCTTTGGTTTGGTGTCTTCTTTGATCGTACCTCCCTTTTCTTCAAAATGCTTCAAGAAGGTCTCATATTGGCTAACTGTCAAACCTGGAATAGGACTAGGATCCGTTTTAATGCATGATGCTTTGGGTTTCGACTCTTGTCGCTTTTGGTTTCCTGGTCACCACTTAGGGTATCCTATCTTTTTTAAGCAACCTTCTCGAGAGTGTCTGTCCTTTCAACAAAAGGTGCAATGTTTGGTGACATCACTAGGTTTGGTGTCTTTTGGTCCTGGCTTATCACGACGCTGGTCGGGATTTCCCTCACGTCATCCTGGCATGCTGGTCTTGAAAGTCGTCTCCTCCGTCGTGGGTTTCTTGTCGATGGATATTGCTCTCTGTCGTTCGTCTTCTACAACGAGGTGATAGGCATTCCCAAGGGTATGGATCATATTTGTTGCCAATATTCGGGTTTTGATGATTGAGAAATCATTATCAAGTCCCATGAGAAACTCATAAAGGTTTTCTTTGTCTTTGAGTTGGCTTAGGTTCTTTCCAATGTCGCAGGTGCAGCCGCTACAAGTGCATCAGGGCGTGGGCAATGCAGCCTGCATCTCATCCCAGATGCCTCGAAGCCTAGTGTAATATGCTGATACGAAAGATCCATTCTGATGAGTCGTAGTAAGTGCATGTTTCAACTCGTAGGCCCGATAAGAACTTTCTTTTCCAAACCTTTCAAGTAGATCAGACCATATCTCTGAATCCGTATTCACATAATTCACACTAACCCTAATGTCCCTTTTCATTGTCGTTGTGAGCCATCCTTTCACCATAGCATCACATCACATCCATAGCATGTAATCAGAAGAATCTTTACCAGGTTTCTGAATCAAACCATCAATGAAGCCTACATTGTTTTTGGCAAACAGAAAGTTCATCATCTCTTGAGACCAATCTGCATAATTGTTGTCAGTCTAGGTGTCATTGATGTGCAACAAATCTAATTTGGTATCTGGTGCACCTTCGGTCTTCTTGCTTGGTTCTGCATCGCCGACCATGGCTGCTGGTTAGGATTTGTGTCGAGTAGGGTTTAGATTAAGAACAGTTCTAATACCATATTGAAATTGATCAAATAAATCTTTTGTATATTTCATGTATATTTCATTAAATTAAAATGATTATAAAATAGGGTTTATATAGGACAACTAGACAAGTATATAAGGCAACATAAGATAAATATGAATCAAGATATGCTATATCCAATAATAATTAAGGTGTTTAGTTTGATTTTACATTGTAAATTTTATTGCATAATATAATGTATAAATCTGAATATATCATCAAAACAATTTCATTTTTATTTGATTCTACCTATGTATAAAACGAAACTTGAACCCTTGACATCAATGAATAAGGACAACACGTGATACCGTTGAATTAAAATTCATTGAACCTAATATCCTAGATATCTTCCGATTTTGAAACTAATTGAATTATTTTGATCATCATAAATAACAAAATTTGACCAAATTTATCTCAATATAAAAATACCAAAATACATCATTTTTGGTACATCATTCGGTCAACTTTTAATTTATCATTATAAACACTAATCGACTTTACATAAACCAATAAGACATTTGGCCCCAATTAATGTTTTAATCAAATTTTATAATATCAATGAAAAATAAATTATTATTTTATCTATTTAACTATTGCCAGGATATATATATATATATATATATATATATATATATATATATATATATATATATATATATATATATATATATATATATATATATATAGGCTCATTCGAAAATATAAATATTTTATGAAAATGCGAAAATAGATTTTATCTTATAAAATCCAAACACATGTACTTTAGAAATTAAATTTATTAGCAATAAATTAAAGATAATAAGTTTACATTAGAAGATATTATGGTAATATAGATTTAAAGGTGGTTTTAACAACCGTTTTTTTCACGTCCTTAACCACTTTTAAATTCAAGTTTTCATAATAAAAATGTCAAAAAAACACGCTCTGCTGATATGAAACAATTTCTCATGTATCATCAATTATCATCATGTAGTTCAAAGTTTGAATGAATTTTTGTCCAAAATATAGGGTTGAAGTGACACAATCTCATATGTTTTCTTTGTTTTCGCAAATTATTTGCATTTTCGCATGAACACTCATATATATATATATATATATATATATATATATATATATATATATATATATATATATATATATATATATATATATCGTTGACTTTTTGACTGGTTTGACTTTTGGTCAAAGTTGGGTAGAATTGAGTATTTGACTAAGGGTTGGTTTCGGTTTGGCTTTAGGAAGCTTGAGTTGGCTGTTTTGATACTGAAGTAGCTGTTAGGCTTCTGTTAAGTAGTTCAGGTGAGTCTTCTCACTGTACTTGTGGGTCGAATGCACTAATGCCGACCCAATGGATTGTGTTATGTAGGATGCTAGTTGTCTTTGTGACCCTTACATGTATGATTGGGTTGAAATATACCCCAGGGTTGGGGCCCAAGAGCTGGGCTCATGATTGTATGTTTGGGTTGAAAGAAACCTCAGGATTGGACCCATGATTGTATGTTTGGGTTGAAAGAAACCCTAAGGTTGGGCCCATTATTGTATGTCCGGGTTGAAAGAAACCCCAGGACTGGGCCCATGATTGTATGTTGGGTTGGGATATACCATAGGGCTAGGCCCAATGATATGTATGGTATGTGGTATTTTGGGAAACTCATTAAGCTTTGTGCTTACGGTTTTATGGTTTAAACATTTTCAAGTACTTCCAGTTTCAAAAGGAAGAGTCCGACTTGATCGCAGTGCATCCCCTGATGATTTATTCTGCAATGATTGTTTATGATTTTACTCTGATGTTTTTAGAATACTTTTACTCTGATCGTCTTTTGGGATAATGAACGAATGGTTTTGATTTATTTGAAAATAAAAATTTTACTCGGTATTTGTGGGATGTTACAATAATTGTCACATTGGTGGCTCATCGGGTAAGACTTGGGCACTTCATAGGAAAGTCTCAAGTTCAAACCTAGTGGTTTGAATCAAAGGTATGCCCACATAGAAATGTATGATGTAGTTATAAAATGGAGTGCTTAGTATCATCATCAAAAGCGAACTCTCTCCCCTAAACCTTACAATATCTGGGAGCCGCAATGGGCGATAGGGAACCCATTTTTATGTAATAATATGTATTTTTTGAAATGGTATTTTTTTGAATAAATTATATAAGATTAATGGTAAATGTGTATAAAAAAGTTTATTGGTTAAATTTGGACCAAAAAAAATTTAATGGTATAATGTGTACATAATAAACAGTAAAATTCACATTAGCAGCCACATGACATGCTACGTTGTTGGTGATGTAATTTTGTTTTTTTTAACAAAAAGTGAAGGTTAATGATAACACGTGTACGAACACTATAATTGGTTGATAATATATGTACACAAAGGTCGATGGTAATTTTTATACAATTTTTTAACTTATATCATAAGTAATTCACAAACCTTATTAAAAAAAAAGAAATCATATTCATAGCGATCTAACCCTCGTAACTTTACAAAGCACAGCTCATGTGTATTCATTTACTCATCGACAAATTGATGTAGTTCATTGGATTAGGTCATCAAAATTTGATTTCATCGACTTGTTGACTCCGTCGAAGAAATTATCTCATGCTGGTGTTGGTTCTTATGGACCTCAAGTGACTACCAGTTTCACCTGTATTTCCACTTTAATTACAAACTATGGTTGTTTCTCCAAAAACAACACTTGATTTACTGTTTTACTTTTACATTTGAACCCATGCTGTATAAATCATATGAAGATCTTCAGGAGAATATAATAATTAGCAGATGATAATCCGTATGGAGATAGTAAATGGTCATGGCGTATGTCATCATTCTTCTTCCTTTGATTACAATTTTAGCAAGAGTTTATATTAATCTTATCTTTCTTCCTGCAAATCAGATCCATAATAAAGTCGCCAACCTTTTTCGTGTATTTTATATCTTTTTCTTTATGCTCTTTCAACATTGTCAGCTTCTTCACCCATGTGCGCCTATTAACTGTTCGGTCAAATGCCCCAATGAAACTGTACCCAATATACAACTAGCAATAGCATTCTGCAATCTGCATACACCAATTGATTTTTTTCCCAAATTAAATAAAATCAATCCAACTCATGTCATTCCTCAAAACAAGGTTAAAATCATGGAAGATTGCCATTTACAAATTACAACTATCTCCCAACTTGCCCTCTACTACTCTTTGTGAATAAAAGCAAGAAAATTTGTGTTGATGCCAACATCTTTGTCTTCGTCTCTCTCTCTCTCTCTCTCTCTCTCTCTCTCTCTCTCTCTCTCTCTCTCTCTCTCTCTCTGCCCAGTCGCTATCTTTCTACATACTATTCTTTTTCTTTAGCATATGTGAATTCCAACCATTGAATAACTTTTTCATTTTATCAAGCTAAGTGGCCTTGTTTGATTTATTGTTATCATTCTTTTGTGGGTCATTTTCAACTGACTTGGTTATCTTCGCTCATGTGTTTGTGAGTTTGTCTCCATTGTATAGTAAACTCAACATAAACTTACCATAAAAGCTTAACAGTATCATTAGTACCTTTTAGCACTTGGGTTGTTGGGTATTTATTTTCTCTTGGTTTTTATCATATACCCATAGCCCATAGGTGCATATGTGTCTAATCATCTTATTCTTTACATAACTCATAGATAGTTTTGGGATCAGTGTTATTCCAAGATCCCATTAGATTCATGGGTAATTCATCGTTTCTCCTTGTGCTTTATCTCTCATTTATCGTTCTTGGAACTTGTGATTATTTGTTGGATCAACAGAAAGATAAGATTGATGAGTTACCTGGGCAACCATCAAATGTTGATTTTTCTCAGTACTCTGGTTATGTGACTGTGAATCAACAATCTGGGAGGGCATTGTTTTATTGGTTGACCGAGTCACCTACAAATCGTGATCCAAAATCAAGACCACTCTTGTTATGGCTCAATGGTGGGCCTGGTTGTTCTTCAGTAGCTTATGGTGCTGCTGAAGAGATTGGTCCTTTACATATAAATTCCGACGGGAAGACCCTTTTCATCAACCCATATTCTTGGAACAAGTGTATGAACACGAACACCTTTTCGTCTTAATTTCACCAATTGTATTACTAAATGTGTAATTGATCTCGATTCTTTAATCTGTCAGTGGCAAATTTGCTATTTCTCGAATCGCCAGCAGGAGTTGGCTACTCATATTCCAACACTACATCAGATTTGTACACAGTTGGTGATGCAAGAACAGGTAAAAATCCAATCGAATCTTTCCAAAAAGTTTCCCCCTTTCCGAGTTCTTCAATTTTGACTTTCTTTTGATGTTGGTTGTAAATTTGTAGCTGAAGATTCGTATGCTTTCCTTCTCAATTGGTTCGAAAGATTCCCTCAATACAAGCACCGTGATTTTTACATCGCCGGAGAAAGTTATGCAGGTTCGCATCCTCTCTTACAACATTTCCGTCTGCTAAAATGTTGTAAATCACCTTCGTTCATCTAATTTCAGGTCATTATGTTCCTCAATTGTCTCAAATCATTTACGAAAGAAACAAAGGAGTGAAGAATCCAATCATCAACTTCAAGGGTTTCATGGTATAAACTAAACACAATCATCAAAACCAATGATTATACCACAATCTTCCCTAATTTCCAATTTCTGATCTTTCTTCGTAGGTCGGAAATGCTGTTACAGACGATTACAATGATTACGTTGGTACATTCGAGTACTGGTGGACCCACGGTTTGATTTCAGATTCAACTTATAAGTCTCTACAAACAACATGTGAAGGAGGGTCCTCTGAGCATCCACCATTCGCCTGCATTAGGGCTCTAAATACTGCCGAATCAGAACAAGGAAACATCGACCCGTATAGCATTTATACAAAGCCCTGCAATTACTCTTCATCATTAAAACGTAGAGGACGTTACGTAAGTTAATTTATACCTAATTTTCCCTATAATGACCCATTGAACTCTTAAATAATGAAGTACATTTATCTCCATTAATGAAACAGCCATGGATGCGTGGAGCATATGATCCATGCACTGAGAAATATTCAAATGAGTACTTCAATCTTCCTGAAGTTCAAAAGGCCTTTCATGCCAACATCACTAAAGTTTCATATCCATGGAAAACATGCAGGTAGATTGCTATTTATATTAATAAAAATAGTAAAGTAGGTTGCTATTTCCTGTAATTTATGATTATTGCGTTAATTACAGTGATATTGTTGGGTCATATTGGGGAGATTCTCCACTTTCAATGCTTCCCATCTACAAGGAACTCATAGCTGCTGGTTTACGTGTATGGGTGTTCAGGTAAAAAAACTACAATAACTTGTGTACTTTTCCCAAAGTTAATAACATAACATCTGTATCAACTTAAAAATAATATAAAATTGTGGTTTTCATTTACAGTGGTGATACGGATTCAGTCGTGCCCATCACTGCAACAAGATATTCACTTGATGCGTTGAATCTTTCAACCATTGCTAATTGGTATCCGTGGTATGATAATGGAAAGGTAACAAGTTAAAAAGATTTTATTATTTTTTAAAATTTAAAATTTGCATATTATGTGGTTATGTTGATAAGAATGTGAATGTTTTTTTTTTTTTTTGGTTTTAGGTTGCGGGGTGGAGCCAAATATACGAAGGGCTGACATTTGTGACAGTGACAGGTGCAGGACATGAAGTGCCATTGCATAGGCCTAGGCAAGCTTTTATACTAGTGAGGTCATTTTTGGAAAATAAACCAATGCAGAGAAGCTTAAACTCCATCTGGGTTTGATTTACTGGTTGGCTAATAAGTAAAATATTGTTATTATGTGGCGTGGGGTTGTGAGAAAAGAAAGAAAATAAGGAGATACCCCCCTACTTCTTCATTCTTGCTTCTGATTGATTAGCATTTCTTTTTAAGCTCCATAATTAATCATTGTTAGATGTGGCGAACCAAAGAGAACATTGATTATTGTTGATTTCTTATACGTAATTTTGAGCTTTGTAATTGTAATTGTAATTTTTATATATAATATATACGGATTTTACGTTATGGTTATCTGATTGTTGACTGTTGAGAATATATAGTTAGCTTCATATTTGGTAAAGAAAAAAAAATCATGCAGCCCTTGAATGACTATTCAATATCATTAAATGAGAATTCAATAGCATTAAATAATAGTTACGTTTCATAATTGATGTACGTAGGCTGTTCAAACTCTTTTTATAAGTGGCCAGTAGCCACCTAACTTTCATTTTCAATCAAAAGTTGTGGATACCCATTGTTTTTTTATTGAAACCCATCATCTGGTTTACAATTTCGGGTAAATGTCACTAAATAACAAATTTCAGATTTTTTTTTTCGACCTAGATCACTCAACTTCAAAGGTTTCAGAGTACGTAGAAGTTTTGTTTTTTACCTAACCTCGAAATCTTTTGAGAGGCTTAATCACTCAATGACTCAACCACTCAAACTTTTGGTTGCTTGCATACATGTATGGATATTTGTTTTGGGACGACTGTTTTATGTGGAATAATTGTGAAACTTGTTTATTATTTAATGATATCGGCAAATATTTTAATCAAATAATCAATTTCCCATTAAACAATTTAAAATTTTCATTAATATTGAAACAAAATAAACGTTAAGTGGTTAAATACTTCAATATCTTAACAGCCATGTTAGGCTTTGGAGCCGGACTAGGGTTCTTGACTTTGTGGGGATCATAGGACTCAAGAGATATCCTGATAGAAAATATACTCCGACCCAAAAACGATTATCAAATTTCTTTGAGAATTGAGATCCGTAATATAAAAGTACTTTAAGACCATGTTTACTGGTGACCTCCAAAGCAATAGGTTGCCACTTGGATCCTAGTTGGCAAAATAATAATAATAATTTAAATCAACATAATGTGTACATAAGTTATAGGTTGCAACCCAAACTCATGTGACAATTCAAGATCACAACCCAACAAGTGCCACATGCCACCCTAGGAATGGTTGAGTTTTTTTTAATTAACTTTCTTAATTATTTATTACAGACAAAACTGCAAAATTGGTCCTTGTGGTTTACGAAAATCTGTGGATAGGGTCCAAAAAGTTTCTGACTTGCATGGAAGGTACAAAATCGAATACTTTCCGTGGTTTTAATCTTAAAATTAAAAAATTTCTGTGTTTTTGGTCCTAGGGAAACCTGAAAGGACGATTTTACCATTCTAATTTCCTTTTTGTATTTTTTGTATTTTTATTTTAATCTTTTATCAATTAAAAATAGAAAAGAAAAGAATGGACCCACTTCACACACACACACACACACACACACACACACACACTCTCTCTCTCTCTCTCTCTCTCTCTCTCTCTCTCTCTCTCCGATGACCAAGAAGATCACGACTCAGACTCTTCCTCTCCTTTCGTATACTCCTCCCTAAACCCAATGACACCACTATGATCCTCTAAACCGGTGGTCATCGGCACCATCATAGGCCACCGCCGCAGCCCCATTTGGTTCGCAATTTGTCCCGATTAGCCCTCGAATGCCATAACTCACCAGAATCGATTCAATCCATGACTGTGGGTGTTGGCGTTATTCCATCTTTCTGATTTGAATCCGGCAGCGATTCTAAACCCAGATAAACCTATTCATCTCATGTTCAAATCGATTCAGTCTATGAATGCATTATGGATGGACCAGATTCTGAATCTTTTCATCTGATTAATCTAGATGGGTTTCTTGGTCAAGAAGAAGATAAGAGAGACATGGAAGTCTTACCCTTCAATCACAGGTTCAAGGTCCAACTGAACCAGATGAATCGATTTGAATCGATTCAACACGGGTCTTGTAAATTCTAGGGCTGACTGCCATGGATATAGCAAATCTAGGGCTTGTAAAGTTAAGATTCAAACCTACAAATTGATTGTAGAGTGTTTGTGTGTGTGTGTATCTATGCATGTGTGTTCATTAGTGTATATGATTTTTGAATCAGGAAGATGTCGATAGAGAAATGGAAGATGATGCAGGTTAAAGTAAGATTTTGCATGTGAAAGGGAGAGGGGAAGATTGCAGGGGCGATCTTGGAGTTTCGGTGCTCATCGGAGTTCTGGTGTTCGCCGGAGATCTTGGTTTCTAACGAAGCGCATACACATACAAATTTTTTGTTCTGAGTTTTTTCTTTAGTTGCAGGTTTTGTATGAGAGAGAGAAAGAGAGGGACAAAGAGAAAGTCAAATGGAAGAACGATGGGGTTATGGGTTGCTCTTTTTTTTTTTAATTTGTAGGTGAAGAAGAAGAAAGAGAGAGAGAGAGAGAGAGAGAGAGAGGGAGAAGGGGGTACAGTGGGTGGAGTCGTGGAGAGGGGTAAGGTGATATTTTTTATTTTTTATAATTTTTTAAATACTAAACTCAATAAAAAAATGGAAAAAAGATATAATAAGGGTAAAATGGACATTTCAATATTTTCAGGACCAAAACCAAAGAAAAACCTTGATTTTGGACCATCAATGCAAGTTGGAAACTTTTTGAATCCTATCCAAAGTTTTTTGAATACCACAGGGACCAACAAATTGGTTGTTTGTATTGTTTGTATAGGTGGATAACTAAAAATCTATTACTTTAATATAAGATCGGGTTGTAACCGATAAAAATATTCTAATACATAAGTATTATATTAGACATTCATAATTAAACCAAAGCCCAATGTCTTTTAAAAATATATTTTTATTATTGTTATTATCTACAAAACTAAAACTAAATAAATTCAATTTTTGACGTAGCAATCAATCCAAACAATTTTTTTTATTAAATAGATATAAGACCATCCGTTATACCCACCATATATGTAACATCCCAAAATTCAAGGCCAAAAATTTCATTTTTAATTAAGTTATTATAAAACCAAGAGTATAAGAAAACATCCATAATGTCATGTCAGGTCAAAACCAAAGTAGAAATAATCAAAACATGTTATCATAAAACAATATCAGAGTCTAATCCCAAAGATCTCATGTGCGGAAAACATAGTGTGATGCGTTGCGATCGAGCCGACTCCTTTCCTTTGAAAATGAAGTACCTGAAACCAAAACTAAAAACCGTAAGCACGAAGCTTAGTGAGTTCCCCCATCATACCACATACCACATAATACCTATCCCTCGGTATCTTTCAACCGATATTTGTCTGGCATAAATGGGAGCTAAGCTCCCCTTCGGTATCTTTCAACCGGTAACCGGAAGCTAACCTCCCCTTCGATATCTTTCAACCGGTAACCGGGAACTAACCTCCTCTTCGGTATCTTTCAACCAGTAATCGGGAGCTAACCTCCCCTTCAGTATCTTTCAACCGGTAATCGGGGACTATTTCACCCCTACCACTATTACATAATAACATATCATAAGCATACTTATCACATTATAACATATCATGCATGGGTTCTGTCTACCCCTTCGGTATCTTTCAACCGGTAACTGCCTTCGGTATCTTTCAACCGGTAACCGGGGACTATTTCACCCCTACCACTATCACATAATAACATATCATAATCATACTGCTAGGCATGCATGGGTACTATCTACCCCTTCGGTATCTTTCAACCGGTAATTAGGAGATATATCACCCCTACCACTACTAACACATATGTCATATCATCCTAGCACATAAAGCATATCAGATAACAACACACCAGATAATTATCACAAAGACAATCATCTAACAAACAACTCCTACTAGTGGGCCGACATTGTGGCCGTAGACCCACTCCTACTGGAAGGTAACTCACTTCACACTGCTGAAGTCCCGTAGACACAATCCCAGCTGCTGGATGACAGAGTCCCGAACTGTCAATATCAAAACATCACCCAATTAATAATTGGGTTCCAACACATAACCATATGTACATACTTGGGGTAAATAAAACTTTACCCCTAACTTAGCTTTATTCAAGCCCGAGCCCAATCCAAAGGCCCAAAAGTCCTACTATGGCTCAAAGCCCAACATATGGCCCAATTTTCCAAATTGGGCCCAAACCTTTACATGGTCTCACTCTAAGGCCCAACCATTTATTCCAGTCCAACATTTGACATTCTAATGGCCCAATATCATATAATCATTAAGGCCCAAACTATGGCCCATCTATGGCCCAATTTTCCAAATTGGGCCCAAACCCTCATATGGGCCATACCCTAAGCCCATCAACATATTCTAGTCCATACGATTATTCTTGGATGACCCATTAATAATCCAATTACCAAAGCCCAATGGAAAGGCCCAACTCAAGGCCCAAGTGAAATTAGGATTTTCACATAAAATGATGATTAGGGTTAAGTGTCCCTACTTAACCCATTAAGGACTTAATCCATTAAGTCCCACATGGCCTTAGGTTAATTGCAAATGTTTATTAATTACTACTTTAAGTTCATTAAATAATTCTGATGTGGTCCCGATAAGTCCCAAATTAGGGTTTCACGGCATTAGGGTTTCACGGCATTAGGGTTTCCAACCCATATTAGCCCAATAGGCCCAATAGTTAGGTCATTTGACCAATTAGGGTTCATTAGGCCCATTATGATTCCACTAGGCCCATTAGGGTTTCACTAGGCCCAATAGGGCTTCATTGGGCCCATTAGGGTTCCAAGCATTCCAAAATGAATCACAATACAAACGAGGCACAACGCCACCCGACACGGCGGCCGGTGGCGGCAGCCACCACCTCACGGTGGTGGTTAGGGTTCCTTTTTTCATTATTCCAATTTATGATTACATTTTACAAACTCTAATCCCAAAATAAACACACTAAACAAACTAATCACACACACACACACAACCACCTTGTGGTGGCCGGCGGTGGCGCATGGCGGCAGCCACCACCTCATGGTGGTGGTGGTGGTTGTTCTCGAGAGTTCCAGCCAAATAACACCACACTAATAATGGAACCACACCCAAAAACACTTCAGCTTCACGAGTCCTCGAACTCAGCCACCATTTCACGGTGGCAGGCGGCGAATCT